ACTCATGTAGTTTTAGTGAAATCCGTATAACAAAAAAAAAAGAAAAAAAAAGTGCCGCTCAAATTTTGTGTTTTGACTTTTGGTAGCAGTACATCGAATGGCGGACAAAATGTATTAAAAAATGTTTAAAATGCACCTATAAACAACAATGGTATTCAGTTATTTTTATCAAGTTGTAAAATCAATAGTTCTTTTAAAATAGCTATATCTCCTAAATAAACAATTGTAGATGAATCAAAATGAACATGTGACCATCAGAACCTTCTGACGCTCACCATCAAGAACGTTTACGATCTGTCTTATAGTTGTTATACAATAGTTTGTTTAAGGTTTATTGTTAGCTTAGTGTTTTATTCTGTCTCATGCATTGAGACAGACCCCTCCCCCTTCTGCTTCCAGGGCGGGAATCACCATGGCAACCAATGACTCAGCAGAGTCTGACTACATGCGTACTACTAAATAGGCTCCTTTTAGTAAGAAGTAATGAACATTTTAGAAACTGTTTTGTAAATTATAATAATTTTAGCGAAAAAACTACAAATATTTTTAAAAGGATTCCAAGTTTTCTTGGACAGCAGGCAGCAGCTAGACTCACCGGACCAAAACAGGTTGGGGTCCCAGTCTTTGTCAAACACTCCGAGTGGCACTCGACACAGCGGCCATCAACCTCGACCTCTCTGGGTTCACTAAAGGAAGAAATCGAGAAAAAACAATTACAATTTTTGTGCCACGATGCCTACTAGCTAACATACATGTAACAAATTAACAAAAAAAAAAAAAAAAAACGGAGTTAAACCAACACACAACGAAAACAACTTTGTCACAATTTCTGACTAAGTATAAATGTATATGCTGCTAGATTAACATTTTTACTATAAAATATGTTAAAGAAGTTGAAATTGAAATGTCAAAGTTAAAACGAGCAGAACAGAAAGTAAAATCAGTAAAACCGTTGCCAAAAAGCCACAGCTTGCAAGACAACAGTTACTGTTAGTTTTCTTTCAACTGATCCCTTCTTCAGGGGTCACTCTAAAGAGCAAACTTGAACCAAAGATTTGGCAATCTTTTAAATGCAGGATGCTTTTCCTGACAAAACCTGGGCTCAAACCTGCAGCCTCAGGATTACGAGACCACTGTAGTGACCACCGAGCTATCACAGCCAGCTGGGAAAATTTTTGTTAAAAGCTAAAATGGGGCAGCACGGTGGCGCAACTGGTAGAGCTGCTGCCTCTCAGCGAGCAGGTCCCTGGTTCAAACCCCGGTCCAGGGGCCTTTCTGGGTGGAGTTTGCATGTTCTCTCCGTGCATGCGTGGGTTTTCTCCGGGTACTCCGGTTTCCTCCCACAGACCAAAAACATGCATGTTAGGCTGATTGGTAACTCTAAATTGTCCTTAGGTGTGAGTGAGAGAGTGAATGGTTGTTTGTCTCGTTTGTCTCTATGTGGCCCTGTGATGGACTTGCGACCCATCCAGGGTGTACCCCGCCCCTCGCACAGTGATTGCTGGACATGGGCACCAGCGACCCCCGTGACCCAAAATGGAATAAACGGGTAAAGAAAATGGATGGATGAAGCTAAAATGGAAGATATATTAAAAAAAGGTAGATAATGGATAGCTAAAATAGCTAAATGGTAAAAGCTAAAAGAAGAAAATCAACTTAAAGCGGTAAGTACAAATTAAAATGAACTCATAAGCCAAAATCTAAAATTAGCTCAACAAAACCATAAAAGCTAAAATGAGCTAAATATGAAAATCTCTTTCATTTTCCAAGGAACCAAATTTTTTAAATAAATTTTAATATTTTCACAAGTATAAAAGTAACAAATACAAAAACCACATGATACATCTTCTAAATGAGCTGGATGTTTTTTTTACCAGCTGCAAAAGTCCATAATAGCAGCAAAAAGGGCTCACTCACAAAAATTTAAAGCTACCATCTCAACCAAAACCTGCACAAGCATGTGGCCGGGAATTCAATCGGTCACAAACTACAGGAGAACTATGACAACCACGGATCCCTGAGAGCCCACCATTCCAGTCAGCCATAACACATTCTACTCTAACATCTACTCTTAACGACTACAGGCCAGTGGCACTAACATCTGTTGCTATGAAGTACCTAGAAAAATTAGTTTTTAAGCACATCAACTGCATGGTCCCAGATACTGTTGACCCCCTCCAGTTTGCCTACCACCCTAATTGATCAGTGGATGATGAGGTAGCAATAGCCCTACACCACATTCTACAACACCTAGAAACTGGAAAGCAGCAGAACATATGTCAGAATGCTCTTCATGGACTACAGTTCGGCATTCAATGCCATCCACCCGACCAAACTGATAGAGAAGCTGGTAGACCTCGGCGTCCCGACTCCCACCTGTAACTGGTCCTGGACTTCCTGACAGATAGACCACAGGTGGTGAGAATGAGAGGAAGGGTGTCTGCTGAACTCAGAGTCAGCACAGGATCCCTGTAGGGCTGTTGCCTCCACCCTAAACTCTACTGTGTACACTTACAGTGTCTCCACCTAACACAGCACCATCATTATTAAATACGCTGACAACACCACTATATTGGGGCTCATCCAGGAGGGGAACGAGTCAGGGTACTGGACTCTGGTAGACAAAATTATAAACTATGTAGAGAAGAATGACCTCATCCTCAATACAGACAAGACCAAAGAAAGCATACTGGACTGCAAGAACCCTCCTCCATTACATCCTCTCATCATTAAAAGGACTGAGGTAGGGAGGAGTGACAGCCACAGACTCCTGGGACTGCAAGTTACATCAGACCTGAGCTGGTCTCTCAACACCACATCAGCCACAGTGAAAAAAAGCCCAGCAAAGGCTTTACTGTATTTCATTAGACTGCTCAGGAAAGCAGGTTTGAACCAGCGCCCTCTCACCCAGGACTACAGAGGAGTGATAGAGAGCATCCTAACTGCAGTCATCACCGTCTGGTATGGGAACACCACACAAGCAGAAAGGAAGGCACTCAAAGAGTCATAAAGACTGTAGAGAGGATCACAGGGACAAAACTTCCTTCCATGGACTCGATGTTGGTACAGCGCTGTTGAAAAACATCAAGGACTCACTCCATCCAGTTTACTCAGACACAAAAAATGCTCATATAACCTGAGACACAGTAGAATGGATAGTATCATCACCCATAGTACAAGGTTTTTAATTGTTTTTTCCCTGCCACAGTCAGACTGATGGCAAAACAAAACCACTGAATCTGGTGCAATAATAACCCAACACTGCCTAACTTCACTTGTCATGTGACAAGGGAAGGTGTAGATATTACCTACTTACAGTGTAGATATAAACCACTTCATTCTTATTTTTTATTTTATTTATTTATTTAGTGTTGTTTTGTTAAGTGTTTTGACTATGACTGAAAGGGCTCTGCACAATAATTCCAATGTGCCTGGATTGTTGGTCTGTGCACAAATGACAAATAAAGAACTTTGTAGTTTGTACTTTGTACTTTGTTTTGATACCCGAACAGATGATATTGCCAAAAGTATTTTGAATAAGCTATATGCAGAAAGAAGTGCTAAACTATAACTAGCAAATCGGTATTCTGTAGGAGTTGTGGTTTTGTCCCTGGTGTCGTGTTTATGTCTGTGTTCCCCTGATCCTGTTTCTCTTTATAAGTGTTGTGTTTCTTTAGTATCTAGCCCCATCTTGTGTCATGTTCATGTCTTGCATCCTCTGTCTCTTTCTCTGGCATCTGTGATTACTCACAAGTGTCATCACTTGGTCTAATTGGTGTTTCCTGTATATAAGTCTGTGTCTCTGTGTTCGTCCTGGTCCTGGTGTTATTATCTGTTCACTGGTGATGTCCTGTCCTGTTCCTTGTGATGCCTAGTCTGCTTCTCATGTTCATCTCCTGGTTTATGTAAGTTAGTTGCCCTGTCAGCTCTTTTGTTTTGCAAAATAAATTCCTTATTTTATATTATCTTGAATCCTTGTCTGCCTGCCTTCACCATTGGGTTCACCAGCACCAGTCAATTGTGACACATTCACACTATAAGCAAACAAACAATGTGAACATTTTTGTGCTGAATAAAATAAGTTATGCTGCTCACCCCTGCAACAGGTTGCATTGCGCCACACAGCGCCCCCTGCTGTCAAAATGTCGACAGGACACACACATCGTGGGCCCAGGGCCCCAACAGCCGTCCTCTGAACACTCTGGGTCACAGGTCTGATTCTGCTGCTCTGTGTGAGGCAGACAAAAACAGGTTTTATTCTCTGATGGTCGTTCAACTCAGCTTCAGAAGGAACTGGATTCAGGACTCACTGCAGGTGTTGTCAGTAGATTTGCTGATCTGGTCTTTGGATTGGAAGAGTTGAGACCAGTTCACAGTCTCTGTGTAGCACAGGTCTGCGTTGAGCTTCAGCAACACATGCCCAGCACTCACCTCCTTCAGAGAGCGCAGGCCAAGCCAGCGCAGGTGCTCCGTCTTCACCACCACCAGACTGTACTGACTGAGAGCAAAACAGGACATTTATAATGCCCCAGCAATTTTACTTCTGCTTCAATGTTTTAATTCAACAATCAGCCTCTACAGGGCAGAAAATGTAAATGCTAAATTATTTCACAGTCTTTTAAAGAGACGAGTCATGGTACTGAAAATAAAATGAACATGTTCTGACCTCAGTTAAACCCAATTTTTTTTTAACAAAGAATGAAAACCTAAATCAAGTCATCAAACTGCAGGTTCTGTAGAAAATGAAAGTCAGAATTTCTCTCTGATAACTGTGATCTTATATTTAGAAAGAGGAAACTCACTCTCCAGCTTTTGATCTTCCTCTGATCGTTTCCAAGTTTTCAAACACCGACAGAGACGTCATGTTTTGGGGCCAGGCGGTGATCATCAGGTAACCTGCCAGACAAAGACACCAACTATAAAAATCTGAGTCGTTAGGCCAACATTCACATGCCAAAACTATAAAACTTAATTTAGTGTCAAACTAATGAGCTCCTATGTTAAAAATATCAGAAATCAGAGTGAAAACCAGTTTGCTGAGACCTACCAGTGATTTCCTTCAGTGTCCTGAAGTTCTCCAGTTTCTCAGGGTCCATGGGTGGGATGTGATAGTGTGGGTCTCTAAAACAGCCAATCAAAACAAGTCTTACTTTTACACGTCTATTAAAGCTAAACAATGGAAGAAGCTGCTTAGAGTAAAAACCTTCTACATTTGTAAAATTATTACCTACCATTGTAAATAGGATTGTACATATGATTATGACTGTATATTCTGTGTGGGTGTATAATATATGGGGATAATAATAATAATAATAATAATAATGAATTTAATTTGCAACGCACTTTTCATTAACAAAAATCTCAAAGTACTACAGAGTGCAACTAAAATCAATGATAAAATCAACTAAAATCAGTGATACAATCATGTGGAGGCAGAATAGGCTTGCTTAAAAAGAAAACTCTTTAAGCCTTTTTTAAAATCAATCAATGATTGTGGAGCCCTCAGATATTCAGGGAGGGAGTTCCAGAGGCGGGGGGCAGCCACACAGAATGCCCGATCTCCCATGGTCCTTAATTTAGTTCGTGGAAGGAGAAGGAGATGACTGTTCTGTGATCGTAGGGACCGGGTGGATGAATATGGAGCAAGAAGGTCCTTCAGATAATCAGGTGAAGTTCCGTTTAAACACTGATGGGTAATGAGAGCAATTTTGTATTGAATTCTGTAGGTGACAGGAAGCCAGTGGAGATTATGGAGAATGGGTGTAATATGTTCAAATTCACGAGCTCTCAATAAAATCCTGGCTGCACTGTTTTGAATATATTGAAGCTTCTGAAGGTTTTTGCCGGGGATTCCAGTAAGCAGGGAGTTGCAGTAGTCGAGCCTGGAGGAGACAAAGGCATGGACTCTACATCAGCAAAAGTGAGAGATGGGCAAAGTTTGGAGATATTTCGGAGATGGAAGAAACATGTTTTAAACAGATGCTTGATGTGATTTTCAAATGTAAGATGAGAGTCCATTTTTACTCCAAGATTTGTAACAGAGGTGGAGAGGGGGATGTCTTGTCCAGAAAAGGAAATAGTCGTTATAGTTGATGTTTGAACCTGGTGAGTGTTGCCAATCAGTATGGCCTCAACAAAAAAGGTTGAATCATGTCATCTGGACTTCGTTTTTTTTGTT